TAATAACCGAACATTAATATTTTTATTGTACTATGGATTTAGGGAAACTACTCTAGCCAGGAGATTTCAATATTAGATTTTTCATTAGTATTCAGGGCTGAGAAAATATAATTAAATTTACCACTGTAAATAATTGTCCTTATACTACTACTTACTTGGAAGAACGGGAAATCTCAGCTCGAATGAAACTAGGTCACACGACTGGCCGCTGGTTACTGCTGTCTTTGGCATGCACAAACAGTGTGCTCTATCAGGAAGAGCTGTCAATAACCTGCAAAGACGTGAATAAATTCCAGATTTCTCTTTAAACATTTCCATATCCTTCAACTGCCGCAAGGCAGACTCCTAAAATTACATGAGTCCTTGTTACAACAATAAGATTTTACTGTAGACAATATTAATGTTCTTCGTGACTACTTTTTTCTCACTATATAAAAATAATACAGAATTTTCTCCTGATTTCTCCCTGTACATACATAACTTTAGGTTAAGGTTATAAAAAATGTTCTTACTACAGAAAACATTTTTAATTAAAATTTTTATGTATGTTTAAGAAACATTTTCATTGTCAATATTAGAACTCATCGAAACAATCTTGCTTTGAGTTGTATGAGTTGAATTTCATTTCTCATTGAACATTTAGTAGTATTCTATTGACTTTTATCCCATTCAAAAAAAAAGTAATGAGCGATCAGGTACTTCTGACAGTTTTTATAGTGATAGTAAATAAGCCATGAAACAAGATTTTTGTTTCCTTACCCAAGAAGAGAAGAAGGCAAGGCAATGACTAGTCTTTCATTGTTGCTAGGATACCTCGTTGAAAAATAATAAAAGTAAATTATATATTAGACACTTCTGATGAACTCTTCCTTATCTACATTCAAAGACTATACAGCATGCATATCAAGTCACTATAATTATAAGATATTATCTCATTTTAAGTCAGAAATATAAGGATTACTCCTAAAGAACTGAATGAGTAGTAGTTGAAAATTTTGATATTTATGAATTTCAAGAAAGTGTAATAATCTCTGAACTTAGTAAATTTCCTAAGTAAAAAACCGAGGCTAAGTACAATGATATAATTTTATACCAGTTTATTTTTTTTAATATTATGTTTCTAATTTTTTTAAGATCAATTAGTTTTGGTCAAGAAATAAAGAATATTATCAGAAACTGTGGAAGTGAAAAAGAACAGTAAAAATATATCATAATTTATTTAGCTTTATAAAGTTAAATTATAATACTATATTTCTAACCAAGTACAGAATATAGTATTTGTTAATTTACAGAAACAGGTTTAGTAGACAGCATTTGTCAAATATATATAACAGTAGAATTTTAATGGAGATAACTGGATGGACTTGTATTTTTTTTTTAATTTTTTTTTCAACGTTTATTTATTTTTGGGACAGAGAGAGACAGAGCATGAACGGGGGAGGGGCAGAGAGAGAGGGAGACACAGAATCGGAAACAGTCTCCAGGCTCTGAGCCATCAGCCCAGCGTCTGACGCGGGGCTCGAACTCACGGACCGAAAGATCGTGACCTGAGCTGAAGTCGGACGCTTAACCGACTGCGCCACCCAGGCGCCCCAAGGACTTGTATTTTTAAAATACTGAAGGGAAGGTGGCCACAAAGACAAACATAAAATAATAAATTTTCTTTATTTTTTTTTATTTTGAGTTAGTAGACAATTTTGAGCAATCACCATTTTCTGTTTAAATTTCAGGCATCTTATGGTAGACCAAACACTGTTATTTATCATTAATTATTAAACATTGGAAATTTCCTTTACTCATTGATCTTTATTTATTTATAAAGTGATATATCGCCATAATTTAGTTACCAACTACTGACAGTTGGTTTATGTGAAAGCTTAGGGAAACAGACAGACTTGGACAGATGATTGTTGTATTTTGATTTCTTGTTGGTTTTGTCATTACGTTGGTCCAATCATGGATATATTTATATTCTCAAACATTCTGTATTTGATAATTGATCTTAGGGGTGCCTGGATGGCTCAATCGGTTAAGCTTCCAACTCTTGGTTTTGGCTCAGGTCATGATCTCACGGTTCATGAGTTTGAGCTCTGAATTGGAATCTGCCTTGGGATTCTCTCTCTCTCTGCTCCTTCCACACACACTTTCTCTCTCTCAAAATAAGTATATAGAATAAAAAAAAATAGATAAATGATCTTAGACTGATGCATCTTTGACCACATTTGCCATTTACATTGTATCCATGCTATTTTGAATAGGTGAGTTGGTACACTTTTCTGAATATGCTTCTCGGAAATTCGTAAGTTCGAATAGTACTTCATCGCTATCCTGTGTAAAGTCTTGGAATATTGGGTACTGTCAGTGGTTCACTTTGATAATATTTTCAATTAAAAGAAGCCTAGGATAAGGGCTTGCAAATCAGTATGCTGCCAAGTAATAGAACATCTCAGTGGTAATAATGTTGTTTAGGTTAATGAGAAATATCTCTAATAAGGACAAACTATTTTATACATTGTCTAGATGTAGATATGGTCAATTTAGAAAAGAACAAAATTTCAGTAGGTACTGTGCATGAAACTTTAAACTTTTTAACGTATATTGAACATTTAAACTTAATATTAAACCAGAAGGATCAAGGGGTAGATTGTTTATTTAAGTGTTTGTCTGCTTGCTTTGTTTTTTAATGACAGTATGAGAATGATATAAAGCCCACAGATTACATTTTTCAGTCCTATGAAATCCCTGCTCTCATAGAATTTGTACCAAGTGCTATTAATTATTTTTACATCTGATATCACTAAATATATGAGAACTATTGACATCTGGTTTTCATTTTTCAGACGATTAGCTCTTCATTAATTAATGGATTCTTTCTTCTGCTATCTCTAGGGACTATTACATTGACTATTAATTTCTGAAAACATACATTGTTGAGGAGTATGTTAATGGCTAGAGGAAGGAAATATTTCATTCATGTTTACAGATAAGTGTACTAGCTTCTGAATGTAATTATTTACAAAAAAAATACAAGTGGTATTATTAAGGATACTGAGCCTTGTTGCTTACATCTAGGATTTCCCAACTTGAAAAAGCATTTTAATAATACCAATTGCAGTAAATGCTATATAAGTCTAATTTCTGTTTGTTAGTTTTTCTCTGGATTTTCTGCTACCAGTCATTTTTAATAAGTTACAAGCCCTGTTCGATTTGAATATAGTTGATTTGTGACCTAAGATTCAACTGGTCTGTACTGACACTTCACATTGCCTTTTGAAAAAACTTTTTTTTTTTGGCATTTATTTATTTTTTCAGAGGGGGAGAGGCAGAGATAGAGTCACAGAACCTGTAGCAGGCTCCAGGCTCTGAGCTGTCAGCACAGAGCCCAACGTGGGGCTCAAACTCACAAACCGTGAGATCATGACCTGAGCCAAAGTCGGGATGCTTACCCAGCTGAGCCACCCAGGTGCGCGTTCACATTGCCTTTTTTAAGATATTAAAAATGTGTATAGAAGCAAAGAAGTAAGCCATTAGGTTTTTTAGCTTACCTATAGCTAGTGTTGACTACTGCTTTTTGATGAAAGATCAGAACAATTTTTGGAAAGTGGCTTTCATACTAAATTGCAAATTATACATATACATAGAAATCACCTAAATTTATAATAAAAGTGCTCTGGTTCTAAATGTATTATAACTCATTCCTTGTCCCATTGCCAGTATTTTTAATGAACTATTCATAAAAATAATGAATTGCAATCGTCCCCAAATGGCAAACAGGTTGTGCTCTACAAGTTCATTTGTAAGCCACTGTTAGAGTTTGGAACATATTTCCTCATAAAACCTGTGTGATGAATGTGGTTAGGACACAAAGCCAACCTGCAAGATTCTACCTAAATCAAAATGTAATTAAAATGTAGCACCAGTATTATTCTAGAACCTGGCCGTGGTTTATCCAGCTGCTTCTTTGGGAAACAGTTCCCAGTTTCTAACTTGGACATCGGAATACTTGAACTTCACCTTTCTTCTCCATGTCTCCAATCGTTCGCAGAATCCTCCCTGCCTTTCTCCAGCCCCACCTTTCAGAAGCTCCCACTTCAATAATATAAATGGAGGTCCTTTATCAGTGTGGAGAAAGATCTCTTGGCCAGAAACCATTTGCAGTTACAAGATCTTTATAAAAACTATTGTATCTCTGGCACTTGGCTTTAAGACTGTATTCTGTATTGTGGTCATCTTGGTATGTGTGCATTTTCCTAGAAAGTGCATCTACAATTGTCATCATATTCTCAGAGGAATTAAAGACCGTCTTTCCCAACAAAACAAAGGTATGGTTTTGTAAATACAGGAAAGTAAACCATATTACAGTTAGCTCATAGTCAAATTAACTCTATGGGTATCAATATATAATGGGCTTGATTGTAAGAGTAGACTTCAAGATTATAGATTTAACATTTGTTTTTTCAGAGGAGAAAAGCAAAAGCCAAAAGCAGTACCCATTTAGCCTAGCTTATGCGTTTAGCTAGTTTACAAAACTAAACACAGAGAAATGGTATTGTTTCACGTTACCTGAAAACATATGTATACAAAAGATTTGTTTTCTTTTTTGTTTTTTCTTTCTTTTTCTTTTTTGGCCACTGATAACATTTTCCTAAGGTAGTTGCATATACTTGTATCTTATACCCTTAATTGCCTCCCCACGTTCTTGTTCCTAACAAGTTTTGCAACTTGAGGTCACACATATTAATCTCAGTGCTTTCCTATCTACTATTAAATTGTGTTGTTTATCGGATAAAGACTCTTATAAAATGGGGCAACTTAATTGTATAGCACAAGGGCGCCTGGGGGGCTCAGTTGGTTAAGCGTCCAACTTCGGCTCAGGTCATGATCTTTAGGCTTGTGGGTTCAAGTCCCACATTGGGCTGTGAGCTGACAGCCTGGATTCTGTCTCTCTCTCTCTCTCTCTCTCTCTCTCTCTCTCTCTCTCTCTCTGCCCCTCCACTGCTTGCACTCTGTCTCTGTCTCTCAAAAATAAATAAACATTAAAAAGATTAAAAAATATATCATATCGCACAAAAGGAATCAAAGTATGTATTTCAATGATCTTATTCAGCCAGTGACAAAAAAATATACATAGGAAGATTGTACTTTCTGAACAAAAGTCCATTTTGTTGGTGTGTGCTTTGAACAGAACTCACCATGTGTCGGAGGTAATGGGAGGAAGGTGGGGACGGTTTTTTTCTCTCTTAGAATCAAGCAGAATCTTCTTCAGATGTTTGAGTGAGTTCTGAATGAGTGCACATTGCAAAATTCTGTTCAGATTGGTTAAAGGTCCAGGTTTTCAGGAGGAATCCAAAACAAAAACCCTCTGTTTCCATTACTGAAAATACTAGCATGAGGGCTTAAGCTCGCCATTACAGCTTTAAAAATGTTCCTAATATGTCATTATTTTGAGTTTTCACTACCAAAATAGGGTTAGGTTGCTTTGTTCATAATAAAACACATATTTTTTTTTTCCCACCTACCTGTTCAAAATCAGTTAGAATCTAGCAGATAACAAAGGTCACTCTCAGCATTACTTGGGAAGAAAGGGAGAAGAGGGTACTGTTCCTGGTCAGATTAATCACCTACACAATAAAAACGCTAACCGTGGTATTAGAAATTCTGAGGCTAAAAATATTATGACTTAACACTTTCCCTTTCAATTTTAGACTTAAAATGTCTCATGCTTTATTATGGTATGGAGATGTGTTACATTCTGTGTCTAGATTAATAGCTCTTTCTTGGCTTATCTGAGTTTTATACAGGTTGGAAAGATCTATTAAAATTATCCAAGTTAAACCCTGGTTGGGGAAAGCTGTTGTGTAGAGATATAGAGGAGTTATTTTAATTTTTTATTTCTTTTCTTTTAAAGAGTTTAACATAAAAGACATATTTGAAATAGTACTCAAAATGGTAAAATTATAATATGTGCCATGTATCCTATATGACCCTATACGTTTCGTATAGTACCGCGTACTTGATAGAGTTAAACATTATTTTTCTATATTTTGCACTTCTCTCTAAAATATAGTTAAGTAAGACCTGGTTTTAAGAATGGGAAGATAAAGTTCTGAGAGATAAAGCAGCATGTTATGTCCCCACACTCTGTGCTCTTTGTGTCTATATTCGTTTTCCTCAAGGTGGCAGGTTAAAACAACGTTTATTATCTCACAGATTCTGAGGGCTTGGAGTCTGGGAGTGGGCATCTGGGTGGTCCTTGCTCAGCGTCTCTCACAAGAGTACAGTTGGCGTGGCCCGCTCTCATCTGAAGGCTGTATTAGGACCAGAGAATCCACTTCAAAGCTCACTTGCCTGGTTGTTGGCAGGCTTCATTTCCTTGCTGGCTGCTGGACTGTAGTCCCCCCAGCTCTTTACCTCCTGGGCTTCTCTGTAAAGCAGCTCAGAAAATGGTGGCTGATTTCCCTGAGAATGAGTGATCCAAGAGGGAGGCTGGAATGGAGGAAGATAGAGAACTCAAGATGAAAACAGCCTTCTAGTAACAATCCCGCAAGTGACCTGCCATCATTTCTGCCATATTCTGGTGTTAGAATCAGCCACTAAGTCTATCATACAATCAAAGAGTCAGAAATGAGTCTCCACTCTCTTGTTAGGACAGGATTAGAACATTTGCAGCTCTATTTTTAAGACTTCCACACTACTGTTACAGACTTCTTCCATATGTGTTTTGTCATGTGTAAACTACAATGATTTTTTTTTTCCTCTGAGGATTATGAACACATTTAACTTGAAGTCAGTATTGCCTAATATTTTTATACAAAATAGAAGTGAATTTACACTATGATGTCTTAAATATATGGGTTCAGGTTGAATACAGGTCATATCATGGGATTATTCTGAGACAGAGGAACGAATTATTTCCTTGTATTAAATTAATGTATGGGGCGCCTGGGTGGTTCAGTTGGTTAAGCCTCTGACTTCGGCTCAGGTCACGATCTACCAGTTTGTGAGTTCAAACCCTGCATCCGGCTCTGTGCTGACAGCTCGGAGCCTGGAGCCTGCTTCCAATTCTGTGACTCCCTCTCTCTCTGCCCCTCCCCTGCTTGCACTCTGTCTGTCTTTCAAAAATAAATGAACATTAAAAAATGTTTAAGTATCTAAAAATAAAGTAATATACATATTTTTTATTTGGTTTTTTGATTGAAACACTGGGAGCTATACCACAATATTTTTCTTGCTTTAAACATCACGTGAAAAAATACTTATCCAATAATGGAATATGTGATAACGTCAGTTACATTTATTTCACAAGATGCCATAATATTAAGTAGAGAAAAGATCAACACAGGGTTTATTTTTGAGTCTAACATTTTGTTTATAGAGTATCTTTATCCGATATTTCAAATTCTACCAGGAAATATATTCTGATTTTATGTTTCATAGATATGTTAATGCTTTTTAAGTGAACTTTAATATTAAATATATTTCAGAGACATACCATATCATACTTAAGTACTTATTTCTTCCAAACTAAGTGAGAAGCCCAGACCTTCTGAAAATTGGAAATGTCCAAATGAGATTTAAGACTTATTCTCAAAGGCTCGTTTTGCTTCCACTGCAATTAATGTAAGGGATTTAAATGTAAGTAGATAAATTGAGGGATAATTAGTTTGTCTCATTTTAAAATGAAGAAAGATTTCCCGGAAAAAGTGAAACAGAAAAGATCCAGTAACAAAAATGAAGATGCATGATTGTGTTTTCTTCTATTAAATTTATAAGATGATTGAAACCAAGAAAAAAACTTCTTTCTTGAATAATAGACATTTTAAAAAGTAATTACATAAGATAAAAGTAACAGATTTACTTTTAGAAAACTGTGGGTTTATGTTTATAGCAGGTAGTCATCAACGTATCAAAACATGACTCCCCAAATCCTCTCTAGTATATTAATAATTATGACAAAATAATAATATAGGCTATAATTTAAGACAAGACCATCAAATCTTATGTGATTATTTTATTTTACAAATTTTATAGAAGAGTAAATTAAGTATCAAAGAATTAAATTTCCCAAGGCTTAAAAGCCAAGTCAAGATTTTAACATGATCTGCTCGATTCCATTTACTCAGATAATAATTTTGGAAGGACCCTCTTCTGTAAAGGCTTTATTGAATTTACACACACACACACACACAAACACATATATATATACATATATATATATATATACACACACACACATATATATATGTATGTATACATACACATATACATATGTATACATATATATATATTTCTTAAAGAGGAGGAAAGTCAGTTATGCACTAAAAACATAACAACTTATAAAATCTTAGTACTGAAGTAAATGTCTAAAACTCAAGAGAACAGATAATGAAAAAAAGAGTAACACTGATCATAACGATGACACTGTTATTATTACGATTGTATATTTAAGTAGACTCAGTATTACCATTGTATATTTAAGTGGAATTCACCCCATTTGTAACATGCTATTTCACTTAGCAATGATTTCTCCTCATTTCCACATAATTAAGTGTTCACCTACTATATTATTTTTATTGACTCATTATTCCTATACAAGCAACCTTTTATTAGTGATTATTTTCCCTAAATTTTCAATAAGCAACATTGGGATGAATCTCCATAAAACTCTGTATTTATACATATCATTGAGTAAGTCTATATAATGCATTCTAAAATTTGGAATATATTTCCTAGCATTATTATAAGCCAATTAGAAAATGTGATGTATTGATAAGTTTTTGTTCATAATAGCAGTAATTGGTGATATACATGTGAAATTAAGAAAATAATCTGACCAAAATTTTTCAGGACCTATATACAAAAAATAGAAAATTTGACATTTTTTTGATGGTAATAAATACTGAATAAGTATGAAGATATATCATACTCCCAGATTTTATAATCCAAAATAACAAGGATAAAAATATTTCCAAGTCTATAAATTTAGTACCATCATGTTTTTACATTTTCTTTATATCATAAACAGAATTGTTCACTATGTACTATTATAAGCTTTTTTCCTGTTGTTGTTTTTTGTCATTTAACTTAATTTTTAAGTGACCATCCATGGTTATACATACAATTATAGTAATTTCATTTTTTCTCTATAATATTGGTATATATGAATATAAAAGCAGTTAATCATAAAAAGGTAGATGACTTTTGGTCATTTCCAGTTTAGTAGTAGTATGAATATTGTTGTTCTAAACATGTGTGTATGAACTTCTGTTGGATATATATATAGATATATATATATATATATATATATATATATATATATATATACATATGCATATGAGTGATTTGAATTGTGGAGTATAAGGAATATGTATATTTAACTTTATTAGATAGTACAAAACAGTTTTTCAAAATGGATGTATTAATTTAAATTTATTGTCAGTGTAAGAAAATTTCAATTTGTCTACAACCTATCACCCAGTATTGACTTCCTTTTCAATGATAACCATTTTGATGGGTTTATACTCGGTATCACATTGTGGTTTTAGTTCACATTTCTTTGATGACTAATGGGCCTAATTATTATTTTGTGTTTATTGTTTATTTAGATATGCTCTCTTGGGGCGCCTGGGTGGCTCAGTCAGTTGAGCTTCTGACTTCAGCTCAGGTCATGATCTCACACTCTGTGAGTTCAAGCCCCGCGTCAGGCTCTGTGCTGACAGTTTAGAGCCTGGAGCCCGCTTCAGATTCTGTGTCTCCCCCTCTCTCTGCCCCTCCCCTGCTCATGCTCTGTCTATGTGTCTCAAAAATAAATAAAAACATTTTAAAAAATTAAAAAAAATATATTCTCTCTTGTGAAGACATTCTGTTTAATGATTGCCTTTATATTCTTTTAATGTTCTTTTTGTTTGTTTTTTAGAAATTACGTTTCTTAATTTTAATATATTTTAATTCTGTTTCTTGTGATTTACATGTTTTGTTTTGTTTTGTTTTGTTTTGTTTTTTTTGTATTGTGTTTTATATTTGCATACCTTAAGGTCATGAAGATACTCTCTAGTTTTTTTTTTTTTTTTCTCCTCAATAGTTTTAGGTGAAATAACTACATCACTTTTTAAAATTTTAGTAATTTCTTTTGATAGAGAGCTCAATTGAAGGGGGACAGAGAAAGAAGTGGGGAGAGAATCCTAATCATGCTTCATGCTGTCAGCGCAGAGCCAGATGCAGGGCTTGATCCCACAAACCATGAGATCATGACCTGAGCCAAAATCAAGTGTTGGACATTTAACCAACTGAGCCACTCAGGTGCCCCTCTATCTCTTGTTCAAATTAAATTTTAATTTCAGTATGTGTAGTATATTTATATTCAAGGTAAGATGATACAGAGAGGTATCATGGATTCTTTAACGATTTTTCGCCAAGGAAAACATCTTGCAACTTTATAGAACAATATTAAAACCAGAAAATTAATAATGATGTAATCAACTAACATCACTAATTTCCTCAGTTATATAGACTCATTTGTGTATGTCTATTTATATTTAGTTTTATGTGATTTTATCATATATGCAATATTAGTTTACTTTGGCTGCTGTAGCAAATTACTACAAACTTAGTGGCTTAAAACAACAGAAATTTGATTATCACAGTTCTGGAGGCTAGAGGTCCAAAATCAGTAGAACTGAGCTAAAATCAAGGTGACTTCAAGGCTGTGGTCCCTCTGCTGTTTCTAGGAGAGAATCTGTTCTTGGTTCTTCCGGCTCTGATGTCTGCCTTTGTTCCTTCACCTGTGGTCATATTTGTCTTATCTCTGCATCCATGGTCATGTGGCCTCATCTGTGTGTGTAATCTCCCCCTGCCTTTTTTTTTTTTTTTAATAACTACAATTATGATGGTACTTCTGTTTAAAGAATTGAGGATTAATTTACTATTACCCATTTCCCAGTAAGGTAACATTTACGGGTTTCAGGGATTGGAGCATGGATACCTCTTACAGTCCATTTTTCATTCTTCCACAGGTATGTGTGTGTCTACCACCAGCAATCAAATAGAGAACATCTCCATTACCACATGGGTTGCTCTTGTAGTTATTTTGTAACAATACCTACCTTCTTCTCACCCATCTTTACCTCTCTTCCTAGTTTATGGCAACCATGAGTCAGCTCTCCATCTATAGATTTTTGTCATTTTGGTCATGTTGTATAAGTGGGATCGTATGTAAATTTTTGAGATTGGCTTTTTTTTTTCCACTTAGCAGAATTCCCTGGAGTTGTCTTTATCCCAATTATTCCCGTGTGTTGTCTTTATCAATAGTCCATCCTTCTTCACTCTGAGTAGTTTTCCACGGTATAGATGTATGACAGTTTGTGTAACTCTTAACCTGTTGAGAGACACTTGAGTTGTTTCCAGTTGTAGACTATAACAAATAATGCTGCTATCAATATGTGTTTACAGGTATTTCTTCAAAAATAGTCATTTTTCTGGGATCAGTG